TTATTGCTTTATTTTAATACTCATTGAACATAATTTGCAATATAAATGAAACATTTTTTATTGCCGTCTCATTCAAAGCTAATGGCATAAAATTAAATTTACTTTTCTGACATTTATTTAGAAAAAAATATAAGATATTTTGCATAAATTATGGTTTTAATTAATCAATTAATTTTGATCACAAATATTATTAAGTTTTCAAACATAATGTTTAGTTTTTAGATGTAATTTATTTATATCGTTTAAATTACTCTAATGTTTAAATTCAATAGTCTTTTATCTGATACAGTTGACATTCGGTTTTGACAGGCGCGATTTTAACAGAATTCGGTTTTAACATAACATTTTGTTAGCACCGGCGAGCCCTATGCACACTGTAATGTTAAATAGCTCGATTTTAACACATTCGATTTTAACAGATTTCGATTTTAACAGTGAATTTTCACTGGCAGTATAGCATAACTCTATGGTTCGATTTTAACACATTGAGTGTTATGTTATGCTTTGACACATTTTTCATAAAACAATGTTTATCAAAAACGTAGAAAGTGCTTGAAACTAAGTACAAAATTATTAAATTAATTGCCAAAAAGTTAATTACAATGATATTGTACTCCAATTTAGTAAGCAATATAAAATAAATGCTGTTTTCCATTAAAACAATTAATTTAATGCACATTTCAATGATATTCGATTTTAACAGAATTCGATTTTGACACATATTTTTAACAGCACCGAAAAAATGTCAAAACCGAATGTCAACTGTATAAACTTCCTTTCATTGTAATAAAGATAATGTTAGGCAATGAGATGTCATTTAAGTTGATTTGACATTAAATTGGATGCAATCCATGCATTGATCCGGTAATTGATTGTTAATAAATGTAAGGAAAGAAATATCTAAATTCAATAAATCGCGTAGTCTTTGATCCAATCAATTATAGCCAAAGAAATTGAAATAAACCACAAATAATTCAATGATAGAAACTAATAATTATATAGTATTGCTATAATCGGAGACATGATTTCATATAACAGGAATTATTGAAATAAAATTATTAAATTAAGTTTACATAAAATAAACATCCAATTATAAATCACAACTATTTTATTTGTGGTAAATTTTCAAAATAATCATGGACATTACATGTATGCGAATTGAACTAATATAAAATTTATATTATATAATACTAGTGTTTAATAATGTCAAATGCGAACATTTAGTATTTATAAAAATGACAATTTTATTCAAAACGATCATGAACAATTTGAAAATTTACTATAAAGTAAATAAATTGTTTGATTATCAAAAACAAGCCATTTGTAGGTATGAATCAAATGAATTATTTTCAAAATTAAATTGTTAGAATTATGTTAGAAAACCATGTTTTCACGATTATATCAATACTATTGACACACATTTTACAAATCGTTTTAAAACATTACCTCATTTATTGTGAATGCGAGGCATCAAAAACATTATATAAGCATTAAATTCAAGTAAATTTAATTGTTTACCTAACGATTCATAATGTGGTCAATAATAGCCAAAAAACGATATGCTTATAAAAATGCATAATTACTCGCAATNATAGGGCTCGCCGGTGCTAACAAAATGTTATGTTAAAACCGAATTCTGTTAAAATCGCGCCTGTCAAAACCGAATGTCAACTGTATCAGATAAAAGACTATTGAATTTAAACATTAGAGTAATTTAAACGATATAAATAAATTACATCTAAAAACTAAACATTATGTTTGAAAACTTAATAATATTTGTGATCAAAATTAATTGATTAATTAAAACCATAATTTATGCAAAATATCTTATATTTTTTTCTAAATAAATGTCAGAAAAGTAAATTTAATTTTATGCCATTAGCTTTGAATGAGACGGCAATAAAAAATGTTTCATTTATATTGCAAATTATGTTCAATGAGTATTAAAATAAAGCAATAAATTATAAGTGATATGAGACTTAAAACTGATTAAAGTAGTCGATAGTGTTTATTGAAACACTTGTTTTAAAGTGATTCCCTATTCGAGTGTTTAATAGAAAATCTCAATCGATTTTGCGAGAGAAAAGTGTTGAGACTTGTTTTGGGAAAAAGTGGACACAAATACTAAGTAAATAGAAATCTTATAGTCGAAAGTGAATAATAGAAATGGGCTTTTATAGAAGGGATTACCATTAGAGTCATACCACTGCCTGACAGACTGTCTGCGAGTAGTTTAGTGAGAGTGGAGTCTCGATAGGGAATGTGACCGCTTCTCCGCTTAGGGTCGGCCAGAGAGGAAATACAGTTGCCTTATGTGTGAGACATACATACACACAGAGAAAGAGGGAGAGAGTAAATAAAAAGTTGCTATATATAGGGCTAATATTGTGAAAGATATTGAAAAATGTGTAAAATTGTGAGCATTGGTACCTAAAACAAGTAGAGAGGTATTGATATTATTGGCTTCAATTAGTGTCTCTCCTTTACTGTTAGTTCTCTTTGTCTTCTCACTGCCTGCGAGATCAACGATACACAGCCGTCCCTCACGTCTTATATATCCCTTTTTTCAGTGAATAAACACATATATAGTTAAGAGAGAGACAGTAAAACGAGTTGTAATTATAATATGAATATTTGTGAGGCGCCACTCCAGCCATCACAAGCTCTGTTAGTGCGGATATGTGTGCGACCATACGTTACCTGTGGATCCTCGGGGTCCTGGGTTTCTGAGGCCAATGTGATTGTCATTACACTATGAGAGCGACTCGAGTTATCGTTCATACTATGACTGCGAACCTGTCTGTTCTTACAGCCTATGAGAGAGAGAGAGAGAGAGAGAGAGAGAGAGAGAGAGAGACCGATCATTGATGAGCATTGATAAGGATCTAAATATCCATTACTAATCCGTTTGCATACCTTCTTCGAGGACGCCTTCGAGATCTCCAATGTCTTCGCACTCGACCTTAAATAGATTTTCGGCATAAAAGCCGCGTTCTTTAGCCCACCGAACGTTCAGACTCTTTGGCGATGGATTGAGAAGATCGAGAACCTGTGGGACAATGAATGATAGAAATGACAGTAATTACTAATTAGAAAGTGAATCAAAAACAATGTATTTGGTAATAGACATGTCAGTGCTGTCAGTGGGTATATAAGCTGTCAGGACCTGGAATTAGTCTAAATAGTAACTATGTAACTATAATAATAATAATATATAATGTAATATTAGTGTATAACTAGTGTAATACCTGTTCGTTATAGACTTCAAGGTAAGAGACATGAATAATGTAGAGAAGACTTCTGTTTTTTCTGAGTTTGATTTGTTCAAAAAGATATGCAAACGCTAATTGCATGACACCAATCATTTTCTTCTCTGCCTGTCCTCCCTGTCCTGCCTGTGCTGCTCCTCTCCACTCTCCTCTGCCATCATTAGGACTTCCTTTGCCAGCGATTGTGTTCTCGGACGTAGAAATTCGCTGTTATAACCATATAATGACAGTTTGAATAAATAGAGACAAATGTTACCTATAGTTACAACTCATAACTAATAATATTCTTAACACAAAGTAATTTGTGAGAGAGTGTGTGTTCAGGCAATTCCCCATCTCTTTCTCTCCCTCTCTATTTTCATAGCATTTTTCGCATTCAAATTGTCTCTCAATGTGTTATTGCCTCACATTAGGCCAACATTTGCTTATGTATTATGGATTGTAATTTGCAATTCATTGCTATCACAGACCTATCATTGCTTTGCTTTTAATTTAGAATTAGTTTTTTTATTCCTATTTATTTTTTGATAAATATTTGCTGCTATGAAGTGCTCGTTAACACAAATTTATTGCTTTAATGATAATAACATAGAGTGAGAAAAATGGCAAAATTGCTGAGGAAATGAGACAAAATGGTAAAATGCAAACCTCAAATGCATTGCCTGTTAAGGTATAAGTCTTGCCAGAGCTGGTCTGGCCGTAAGCCAATACAGTACAGGCGAACCTATTGTCGTCATAATCACATACAAAAGAGAGAACATCGTTAGTAAATGTCAGTGTATTTTACAAATGGTAGTCTCATTATCGGTGTTACCCATCGAGAGACATATCAATGAGTCGTTTCACTCCCGAGTGTTCGAACACTTCTTCTTGAGAGGCTTCCGGTTCGAAGACCACATTGTATGTGAAGGATCGGGACATTCCTGACATCGGATCGCTAACCTATTTTAAGGTGTTATACAAAAAACTATAAGAGAGAGAGAGAGAGAGAGAGAGAGAGGAGCGCACAAAACGCTCATCAACATTGATCAACAACAACATCATCTTTGGTGGTATGTTTGCTCTCGAGTAATATGTGATGATTATATCCATACAACCAAACCTATTATTAGCATAAATAGCGTGGGCTATAACAGGGCCAACACATTATACACACACAAAATACAGTCGATTGCAATTATAGTGAACGCTTTGATTCACTAAAAACAGTTGCACTACAAGTGATCATTAGTTTCCAGAATTGATCTCTGGGTTCAAATGTTCACAACATTCACAGCAAATTCAATACTCGATTCATTCATTCCGTGCATTGCATTCACTGTCAACACAACACATAATTCGTACGGATTCTGTACACCATATAAAGCCATTTAAGCCATACTTGTATTTGTCCGGCATCGGGATAGTTGAGGATCTGATCTTTACGGTCACTGTTTGGCGTCTGCACCACTTTTTTCGATACCGGCCGCACTCTGCCATACGTTTACGTCATGTTATTATTATTGTAATTATGGTACAAATATAAATATACTTTATATAAATAACTCAATTATTATTCGTATGGATGAGAAAAATAGGCCAAAAATCATGCCATACCTGATAACAACATTAATATTGTCTAATCCCGGCTCTGTTGGCCTCTGGTCGTGGAACAGATCATTAGACACTCCTCTTCCTGTCATTTGTTCGTTTGTGTCAATAATTTGAGAATTTAATGTCGAACTCATCGTAAGATAATATCAGACATTTGTCATAAACACAGTGACAGCAGACAAATGAGAATAAAAAACACTAAATACTAATCATATTTATATTAATTAGTGTTAATATTAGGCAAAAGTAATACTCGACGAGAGTTTTGGAGTAGAAATAAAGATTAAGAAGTGCTGAATGTCTAGTTGTATGAGAAAGAGAGCCATCGCTTCACCACATCTACAATGCATTAGTCTTACAGAATTGGCACTCATTTTAATGATTCTCAAACTTACATAACTTTGTATAATAAAAAATTCTCAGTATTATTATATTTATTAATAATATTATGAAAGGATTCAAACAATACTTAATATAAGTGTTGTTTGAACGGAAGCGATACCTTTGTGACCGGATTATAAGGACATAAGGACATAACTTATATAGTGGTCTGTAATATAGTGAATTGTGACTTAAGTATAACAGTACTCAATGTTTCGCAATAATTGTTATATTGTTTTCACAATATGTTTTCACATACAGTATATTTTGGTGGAAAACACTCAGAATACTACTATTTGCTCACCTTTTTTGCCGATTCAAGTATTACTTCTCTGATGTTTTCGTTACTTTTAGTTTAGTTTTTTTGTTTTTAACAAATCAATAGTTATTAGAAACAAATCATTCATCTTTTTGAGTGTAATTTAAAACTCGATGAAAGGACACAACAGTTCCTGATATTTAACTCATATTTAAGTTAAGACATAAGATGTGGGCTTTTAATAATCTATGGGTTTACCAATGAGTCCATTGACTCCCAAAAAACTGTTGAAAGTCTATTAAATTGTTGTCAAATCAAACCAAAGATCTTTATTACTAATAAATTATTAGGAAACAGTTCTCATTAAAATAAATTAAAAATAAACATTTTTTAAATTAATTAAATTCTCGTTTGTAAAAGAGTTTGTTTCTAATTACTAAAACTTAATTGTATTTAATGTTAAACAAAGTGTTTAAATAATAGATTAAGTCTTAATGAAAGAATGACAACAACAGTAGTGAAGACATGAATAATGGTATCGATTTGTTTTGTTCGCATCTCTCTCTCTCTCTCTCTCTCTCTCTCTCTCTCTCGTTTTAGGGCTGAATTGCTCTCATTTACAAACAACTCTTTGTTTGGGGTTTATGTGAATTATTAAGTGACAAATAACTTGTCATTTAGTTATCACATAAAATATATATTTTTATTTAGGAATTAAAAGCAATTTATCACAAAATATACAAAAAGAAAAATGTTAACAAATATTCTTATTTAACAGATATTTTTATTCAACAAATATTAATTAATATTTATATTTTGTAACAAAATTCCTTATCTCTAATACATTCGCTTATATATCAAATATTGAACAATAAATTGGTGTAAAGTTTAAAGAAAAAAGTGTGTATATCTTCCTCTAGTCGTTATGGAATTCACAAAATGCTAGTTTAGTTCACGTTTTACTACTTTTTAAACATGAAAATAATGCTTATCTAATAGCTATGTGTGTGTTTAACCCAATATACCATTACTAGTGTGTGTGTGAGATATAATATATACACCAAATCAGGTATTATATAGTTATCAGTTGTCTTCTTGTGCTATAAGTTCTCATTGCCTGCAAACGAGTGGAGGAAAAAATATGAGAGACGATGAGAACGAGACGATGAGAGCGCCTATAGTTTGGGAGCATAAGGATGACGACAGGCTCGTTAGGTTAGTCTCCTTACGCCATACAATCTAAGCCTTAATTCTGAGGCCACACAAGTGGTGCTCATATTTTCTAAGAACGATATCTAACCTAAAGGTTCGCTTATTATGAGTGCAAACGGAAAACAAAATACATATAAAAAGTGAAACACGAAAACTCAAGACTTGTATAGTAATTACCATTAGTTTGTGAGAGCCATACGATAGATAGCTATACACACAACACAACACAATCCAAAAATATAATTATAAGCTTTAAAATGTTTAGCAAACAAGGAATTCATATGTGAGATGACTATTGGCAGACGGGAGCGGGCAGTGGGCTCTGTTGCAGGCCTGCCATCACATTGCGAGCCGTTAACACAGCCATTGCCAGTCGACTATCCTCAGCAGCGCTTCCAATGTGTGGTAATATTACTAAACAGAGTCGATAAATAATATTTCAATCAATTCTTTTGCTTTAATTATCAATAAATTTTAAGCCATTAACCGGAATGTAATGGTAATAAAACATTGCACACAATACCAAAACTCTGACCACAAAATACAACTAAAACATGAATAAATTTTACATTATTATTGAATCCCAGTTTGAATCCAATTAGGCATTCCTTGTATTGGATTTTAATGAATATTCAAACTTTTATATCAAATAAAACTAGAATTCAATTGTTTGGAGAAATAGTATGTAAAGCAGTGATCAAACACTCCCTCTATTTGGTGGTGAGTTTTGGAGACAGCGGTTGGGGAGAGAGAGGGACAGAGTGTTTGTTAATTAAATTCAATGTTAGACTTAATGTAGAGCTCAGACATACCGGCGTTAGACAATGAGAGGAGGGGGTCGTCGAGAGGGATCGGTTCCACTTCCATGACGTCAAGTCCGGCTCCTCTAATGTCTCCGTTCTTTAATGCATTGTAAAGAGCGCTCTGATCGACAACAGGACCACGACTTGTGTTAATCAAAATCGCGCTCTTCTTCATCCGTTTCAATGCCTTCTCATTAAACATATGACGGGTTTTGTCATTCAATGGACAGCTAATGATTACGAAATCACTCTTTTCCAAGAGTTCGTCAAACGATACAAACTTTGCGCCAATTGAGTCAACCGATGGCTTCGCTTTGTTTCCCGAATAGAGATAGTGTTTGGCTTTAAATGGTATCAGTCTTTGGAGGACAGCCTCTCCAATACGACCCGCGCCCACCAAACCAACAACACTGTCCTTAATAGACGCGCCGCACATAAACTGGTGATTCCATCCCGTCTTCCATTCGCCACTAAAAAAAACACATCAAATAAATCACACGCTCTTTACTGTTGAGAAATACCACTCAAAACATGAGAGAAAAACACATTTATTTAGTGTTTCAAAACACACACTTAAACTATAGCCAAACATAACACTAAAAAAGTGAATATAAATTATTGTAAATTACTTTCGCATCGCTTTGTTGGCCTCGAAAAGTCGTCGACTTGTGGCCAAAAGCAAGGCTATGGTGAGCTCCGCGACGGCGTCGGTCAGCACGTCGGGTGTGTTCCCCACTTTGATACCTCTTCGGCGGCATTCCTCGATGTCTATGTGGTCATAACCGGCAGATATGGTTGCGATCATTCGCAGCGATTCTGTGGCGCTATTCAACACTTGAGAATCGATGCGATCGCTGAGAGTGCAGACTAGAGTCGATTTGCCTCTAATCCGTTCGAGTAACTCATCCCTCGGCATAATCGACGGCTTTTGCCACACGTCGAGCGCACACATAGGCCTCAGCGTGTCGTACAGGGGTTGCGGCAAATCGGGTCGAGTCACTAAACACGATGACATTCTCGTCGATCTTTCCAATACTGATATATAATTTCTCGCAATTAATTTCCTCTTCAATACATTAACAGAGAATCCAATTATTCTATTCATTAATCGCTTTAACATAAAAACAAAACATTCAAAAAATATATAAATTTTTGTTCTCTCTCTCTCTCTCTCTCTCAGCTCTTCTTCAGTGACTCACTCGGAGGTCACGTCAGGAAAGCATTTCAAACCATAATTGTTTATTGTTTGAAATCATCTGCTCGTCTAATTTAAAAGCAATTAAAATAATACTTTGAAATTCTAGTCCACAATCGATGCTATCATACAATCAGTTTATATTATAATTCTATTAAATTATTTTAATATAACATTAATAGAGAGAACTAATGGCCTCAAGAAGTAATAACTATAACATTTCCACAAATTGTCTCACAATCTGTTTCTCTAACCAAAAAAACTGAAGAGCAGATGAGGAGTAATACCCCCAACAGTTTTATCTCAAAAAAACTATTTTCTCAATTCAATTGCAAATTAATATAAAATTCTCAGAATCTTCTCATAAGTTATGCTATATTTATATAACATTCATGTAAAGTAATATATAGTTGTATTCGTATTAGTGATGAATTGGACATAAAAATTATGCTCAATTTAATGGTCATTAGAGGCAGAAAAAGCAGTGTTTTCTGTATAATTATTGTCTCCTAACATAGACTTCCTGTCAAACCCTTTAAACACTTTTTTATTTGGATCCTTAATAAGTACAACAAATACTGATAACATGAGATAATTTAACGCTTATTTGACTTTATATCTAAACACAAACTTCATTAACAATAAAATAGTTAATCACAATAAAGAGTTGTGTTAAACATAAATTTCTTGAATTAATTTCCATTAGTTAACAAATGTCACAACAAAATGAAGGGTTAAAATGAATTAGTACTCAAACTCGTGCACTCTTTGGATATAAAATCACAAAAAGGTTAATTTAAATGAACCAAAAATAGTGTCGCAAAACAATTATCAATAGGTCTAACACTGTAATGAATTAAGGCCTAAATTAACAGCAAAAAAACGAAACAAGAATTAAATACCAAATAAAATGTGAGTATAATTTTAATACCATTATATCAATGGCTCTATTCATTGACAACGAAGAAAATAAGAGTATAATTTGAATGGTAAGGGAGGGGTCGGTGTTGTTGAGTTCAAATCATAAGTTTGTGCTTAAATCTACAATCAATAAATATATGTCTGAACATCAATAGTAATATTTATAATCAAAAATATATTAATAAAATACCATTCATTTAATTACAATTTTGTAGATATTTGTGATAATAATAATTCAATAGATATTAACAATAACTCTACTATAGTATAAAAGTAAACGACAATTACTGTAGATTAAAATTTCAAAATTTTCAGTCTTAATACTAATTATCAAAGAGTTTACTAATTATTGATAAAAACTAATTGTAAGTATTCTTATCGTAAAAACAACAACAAAAAGTTTACTATTAAGAAAATTATTTAAAATGTAATGATTAATAAAATCTATGTTTTAATAAAAAATATAGTTTTAAAATGAGATTATAATTTAGAGTCAAATAAACATAAAATAAAAAATAACAAAATCAATAAAAGAAAGTATGTGTTAACCAAATACTAACTAATAAAGTCATTATAAAATTTAAGGCAATATTCAATTAATTGCTATTTAATGAAAATATTTTGAATAATAATTTGCATTCGTTTTTGAAAGACATAAAATTATGTGGTTTTTCACATACAATGCAAAACTACTAAATATTCTATAAAAACTGAACGTTCAAAAGGGTTACTAAATTAATGATCATTTGATAAATTGATATCAAAAAACTAAAACTATGATTGAATTTGCTTTTGGCGTTATTTCGAGAAAATTGCACAGAATTCTCATTTAAGAGACCAATACTTAAATAAATGTCTTTTAGCCATGAATTACAACAATAACCCAAACTAAACATTAAGTTTTCTCATTGCATTCAAAACTCAAATCCATTTAAATAGTGATTAATTACAGTATTAATAGTTAATAATTTTATATATCATTAAATTTTAACATTCATTAAATCAATAAATTCTCCAAATGTTATGTATTTGAAGAGAATTTACAATAATATCGATGAGAAAACATTGAATTAAGATTTAAGAATTTTGATAAATAATTCAAAATACCTTTTAATTCATTATAAAAATATTCCGCAAATAAAGTAATATATTTTAATTAATAATTTTTGTGCTAAAAGAGTGCATTTTCTAAGTATTCATAAAATTTGAAGTTGAATTAAACAAGAAATCAATAGTGTCTAAAAATTTAGAAAAGGTTTTGTATGTTTCAAAACACAACCCTACTTTCTTATAAGGGATCAACATTTGCAACACTACTCTGGACTTAAACTTAATGACAATTTCCCACAAGTAATGTCTAATCGTTTGACAAATCTTTTATACATTATATTTCGAGAAATTAATGAATTAATTAAACATTACATTTGTATCTAAAAGCTTATCACATATGAGCTCTTATAAGAGGTGTTGAGAGGATTCACTCTTCTTATAATACAATACAAAACAATACAAATGTTTGGCCGAAAAGCTAAACATTAAACTTAAACCAAAACCTTTTGTCACAAAAACATCAAATGATATAATATTTGCTTTCATTGTATGCAATAAATGGATTAAAAGAGACCTGATTTGCATAAACTTAGATTCAAGTAATTGATTGAAATGTTTGTATGTTTTGAATATTAGATGAGTTTGTTTTTTGTCTAAAAGAGCGAATCGATTCCCACCACGACTTCAGAGCTAAAGAGCTAATGATCTTAAATAATGATAAAACGATTTCATATAATCATTGCATTAATTCTAATAATATTATCTCTACTTTTTGTTTCTCAAACTTATTATCTAAAGCACAACAAACTTATGGTTTTGTGTGGTATATAAGGCAGTCATTCATTTGGCAAAACATTTTCAAATCAATTCATTGCCATTTAAAGAGAGAAAACAAAAACATAATAATTACTTAATTTCAAAAAACTTCTCATAAATAACTCATTTTGTCTCAAATGCACTGTTTTTATGTCATTGAATGCAATAAACAATTATTGCCATTAAATCATCGCAAAGAAAATTCATTCAAAGTTTGAATTTCAAACATTTCTTCGCTTAAAAATATAATACTTTTTCTTGTAATTAAAGGGCTCTCTCTCTCTCTCTCTCTCTCTCTCTCTCTCTCCCAAACTGATGGC